GTTCATTTCCTGGTATGTGGGGCAGGAAACATAGCCTTATTTGGTGTTTTTAGGGTGGTAATTTTGCTAATCTCTCGTGCACGAGCAGCTGGATATGAACAAGTGGCATTCATCAGTTTATGATGCTCATTTACACTTTTCCTGAAGATAGAAGAGTTTGTTGAATCTGACGTGACATGTTCGTACGAACCCTTTGTACGAACAAAAGTAAGAGAAATTTAGGATAAGAATACAAACATGTTCTTGCATGAGGCCCAGTGTTCTACCAAATTCAGAAAATAATCTAAGGAATAAGAGCCAGCTGGAGGACAACAGATCGTAACGGACCATTAAGTTTAAAAAATGACACAAATGAATGTGTCGCTTACTCAGTAAAGTGTTGTACATAAAAAAATAAATAGTGCTATTGTCTCCTTAGGTTTAAACAAGGCCAACATTTATGATATACAATACAGTGCATATCAATAAATCCATACTATACATTGTTATGAAACACAATAATTAGTCAGTATTCATGAAAACTACATTTAAGCAAAATTATAAATGACTTTAAATGCCAAAATCCAACAGTAAAATAAATTGAGCAAAACAAAAGGTCTAATAATGACCACCATCCATGTGACCACAATCAAAATGTGCTTTGTTTTTGTGTTCTTTTTAGGTTAAATCTCTCAACCCAACACATGTAAAAGTCAGATTATTAACATAAGTGATTAAGAGTTGCCACTGATCAAAATCTGTCTGTTGAACCCCAGATGATTTTTTTAAGATGTAAATGGCTTAATCTCTACTTGGGCATTGTTTAATGAAGCCACAAAGCTTACTGGGCTTATTTTTCTTTCAACAGCAAGAACTTTCACTGGAATACTATAAAAGCATTAAACAGCATTTATACATACTAAAGTGAATGCATATGTCTAACATTTTTGTTATCAAAAACTGTACGTGTGTCAGTTCTCCGTAGTTGTTATGAGTAACAAAGTATTTGTATTTTGTTACTTTACAACTCTGGAAGATGGTCATGTAGCATTACAAAGAAAACCAGAGTGGTTTCAGAAATTGATTGCCCCAATCCGATTTGCAATATCTCTTTTGGTTCAAATGTTGTCAACACAGAAAACTGAACAACTGGGAACTTTGCCTGTGATGCACAGCTATTTGTTGTGTTAATGTGCTGTTTCTAGTGCTGAACACAGAGCTGAAGATGTAGGATCCAAATGTGTGAAAGAGCCTTCTGGTTGGACTTGATGGCAATATGGCTGAACAATGATATAAGCATTTAGTTTCAGTCAATATCAAATAATTATTGATTTGTTTTTTGTTTTACCTATTTGAAATGCGGACCAGGAGGAAAACGTCTGATTAGTACTGCCAAACTGGTGATGTGACCTTTCCTCTTTCATCCACAAATTTTTTCTCGAGTTGTTGCACTCTTTTTCTCCTTTCACTGCACGCAGTTCTTTTTTATTTTGAAGCAGTTATGAGGCACGATGGTGAAACATGAAACTTCTGCTGCATGTTACTCAACAGGTTGTTGCTAGCTTACCAAGGAGTGAGCGAATTAGTTGATACCCCCAACCTTGCTTTGCTGGATCATGAGAGGTCGAGTAACTAAGGCCTTTCCTCTCCCCCAGAATGCCGTGCGGTTTTGGTTGGGAATTCAGTAATAATCTCAACATTCTATTGGACAGACTTCTCGTTGATATTGAAAATCAGTCTATATCATGATAATGTTTTCTATTGATGTTGATCTATTGCAATATATATTATTGAATTATTGCTCTGCCCTGCTTTCTGGGTATTGGTTGAAGTCTGCAGCTCTGGTACTGTAGGTGCATTTCCCCAGACAAATAAATCACCTTAAGAAAGGAAGTGGCCCCTATTTGTTATTGGTCATATAAAATTGGTTAGGATAAAGCCCTAATTAAGGCAGTAATTTAAAGTGAAATTACTTGGTATTTTGAATTCTGAACTAAATATTTGTTAGGCAAAATCATGCCATAACAATATTTTATATAAAAATATAATAATATAACAGATATTTATCCAGTTCCTCTGCAGCAGACCTTCCACCCCTAAACTTTGTATGGAATTGTCACAAGTGTTGTTCTTTCTACAGGTCACTTTACTTCTGCTGAAGACCTTAATCTGCTCATAGCCAAAAACACACGCTTGGAGATCTATGTGGTCACAGCAGAGGGTCTGAGGCCCGTCAAGGAGGTCGGCATGTACGGCAAAATTGCMGTCATGGAGCTTTTCCGGCCTAAGGTAGATGTTGTACAGTTGGTTGGTTAAGAAAAAAAAATGGACAGTTTTTTTTTGAGCAGCTGATGAATTTCTTAAATGATAAAATGCTATTTTTAAAATTTACAGTAGATCATATGGTTCAAGTTTAATTTTTTAAAGGTTGTCTTAACTGTAGGTGTTTTTTGTTGTTGTTGTATTTTTTATTTACAGGGTGAGAGCAAGGACCTGCTGTTTATTCTCACATCCAAGTACAATGCTTGCATCCTTGAATACAAACAGAATGGGGAAAGCATTGACATCATCACACGTGCCCATGGCAATGTCCAGGTGGGGGAGGCAGCAACACAAAGCTACTTTTGTTTGTGTTTGTAAATTGCAGCTTTTACACTGTACATCTGCTTTTGTCAATGCATTTTGCTTTGTTGTTTTAAATCAGTCTGAAGTTTTCTTGTTTTGTTTGTTTGCAGTCAAGTTGAGCAGACATATCAAGAGTAGCTTTGTACAAAGAGTGTTATTCAACTTTTTCTGACTTGTTTTGCAGGATCGTATTGGGCGTCCATCAGAGACGGGGATTATTGGAATCGTTGACCCAGAGTGTCGCATGATTGGTCTGAGGTTGTACGATGGGTTGTTCAAGGTGATCCCATTGGACCGGGACAACCGCGAGCTCAAGGCTTTTAACATCAGGCTGGAGGAGCTGCAAGTCATTGATGTTCACTTCCTGTATGGCTGCCAGGCCCCAACAGTCTGCTTCATCTATCAGGTACTGTTGTAACATAGATGCGTTTGTATAAGTGGGAGGAGCTAATGTGTTTAAAAAACAGATTTATTTGCCTGTGTTATTTTGCCTCTCATTCACAATATTTTTGAAAATATAGTTGAACTTCAATCCTCCTCCATTCACCTAATTGTAGAAATTTAATCAGTGTTGTTTGCCAATCAATAAGAAACTAAGAAAATTTTTCTTTACTTTTGGAATCATGTGGTTAATTATTGTCACTGAAGTAAAACATATGCAGATCATATTTTTGTGCATGTCTCATACATGCAGGGTTAGTACAATAAAGCAGACTACTATCAACACCACTTAGTACAAACAGCGAGGCTTTAGAAACTAGTCAGTTAGTTTAGTTTGTGATTTTTCTAAAAACTAAACTAAATTTTGCACAAAAACAAAGGAAATATGTGATTTTTTTAGATTTATTTTTTGTAACAATGCTTCTTGCCAATAAATCTTATACTGTTGAAAAGCCTTTGAATTTAGCTTTTAAATGATGCAACATTTGTAAGGAACATGCATTTGTGGGATGAGCAGTAGAGTTGAGTATGTGGGTTGCACACATGAAAAACTAGAAGCACACTCAGAGTGCAAACCTCCGCCAAGACCAATTTCCCCCATCCTGTAAGAGGAAATGCACAAAAGCAGAAATGGAAACACATTTGCCGAATAAGTTCTGATGTAGTGACCATTTAAGCAGGCAGTATGCATGGGATTTCTTCTCGGTGGAGTCCAATGTGAAAAAATAAAAATAAAATCAGACTCGTCACCCGACGTTATTCATCGTCAAACCGGTGTCGGATTAAGCTCCGAAGTTTTCATCAGTCACATTTCACCATGTAAAACGTCTGTTTTATCCCCTTGTACGAGTTTGTAATGGTTTGACTCTCTTTATATAGTGTCTCCTGGTGCCCCCCGTCTCCAAACTTTGAGGCCTGGCAGCTCTCTGTTTACAAACCTAGTAGCGAGAAACTGTGATTGGTTGTTTRGGAAATGTGGTGTGTTTGAGGAAATGGGAAAAATAGGTTTCATGGTGCAGTCACACACTTCCTGGTCACAAAACATTCTGTAAATGCGCACATTATGGCAAAAAATTACTCATCATTAAATGTGGTTTTAACATTACTTTTATAAAGTTTGAAGTCCGTGCTGTCCAATCCAGCTCACTGTTTTTTACAGAAGCCCTGTGAAAGCATCACAGCTTTGCCGATCTCAGAGTATTAAAAGAAAAAAATTCCTGTATCCGCATCTTGATCCGGAACATCACCAAAATTTAAAGGTGTGTCCCTTGGCCCAGTACCCACATGTGTTAAAAATGTCATGACAATCCGTCCACAAGTTTTTGAGTAATGTTGTCCACAGACAGAACGACAGACAGACAGATTTATGTGACCAAAAACATTACCTCGCCCTTGGTGGAGGTAACAAGAAACACTACGACAAATAAATGATCTACTTTTGTGTTAAGTAAATTTAATCTGTTGTGTAACTTAGGACCCTCAAGGACGTCATGTAAAGACCTACGAGGTTTCCCTGAGGGAGAAAGAGTTTAACAAAGGCCCCTGGAAACAGGAGAATGTGGAAGCTGAAGCATCCATGGTTATCCCAGGTAAATAAAGGCTAAAATTGTTAGGTGATGGTTTTTTTTGTTTGTTTTAACTCTTTTTAAAATGACAAATGGAAATATATTTTTATGCTAAAATGGTTCAAAAGATTCACACGTGTGTTATTTTTTTAATGAAATTTAGCATTTTACCATTTAGATTTCACTGAAGCTAAATCTGTCATTTATCAACTTTTCTCTGTTTTAAACTATTTTCTGTGACTAATACACYAGACGTCTTTCTAATTTAAGTTTGTTAACCTTAAGGACACTTTGCATACACTGCGTCAGTTAATTGAATAATCTAATACGGGAGGCAGAAGAGCCTCCTGTGGTGTGTAGACCACCTGGGAGATGTCTGCTTCTTCACAACTTTTTCCTGTTCGSCTGCCTTCATCTCTGTGGAGAGGAGGAGTGCAGTTTTTGACTTTGTGCACTTGTGTTCCCACTCTCCTGCTGATAAATTGCTGTACAGATTTGGTGCGTCTCTGCAGCTTCTCCCTCCAGCATGTACAGGACACCTCTAAAGGGCTCCAGTTCCCCTGGCAGCCTCGAACGTTCTGACTTTTCTGCACAGCTTTAAAAATCCATCATAACTCCTTCCCACTCAGAGGAGCAGGGGGATTTTATTTCCATTATTTAGTGACTGAAATTTATTTAAGTAGCAAAAATTAAGCAAACTTAAAGGTTTAAAGCAAAGCTGTCATTCAAGRCTTTCTAAAGTAGATTATTCTCTCCAAATATAACTCATAATTTTGAGTCTTTATTACATWGTGTATATGTGGAAGAATAGGTTTGTTTACAATTTTGAACAGCTTACTCAACAAAAATGATTATTGSTACATTTAATTTTAATCAGTGATTCATGTAAAAAGGTATTAATAGAATTTTGTTTTCTATCCCTCTAGTGCCAGAGCCCTTTGGAGGAGCAATAATCATAGGACAGGAGTCCATCACCTACCACAATGGAGACAAATACCTGGCCATTGCACCACCCACTATCAAGGTAAAATCAAGCTGTGCCTTTTTTCCATATTGAACATTTTATATAATGTAGCAATGAATTGCATAGCCCCTGCTAAAACGAGTAAATGATAATAGGAAATCATAATGAGACTTTCAGGGAGTAATGCTTTTTTTTCCTCCTCAAAACCGGAGGTAAAGCAAATGAAATGACAGATCATTGGCACAGCTGCACGTAAACAAACAGTCAAGTTCAAATGGTTCATACAAGTCTTACCATCATTTTTTTTTATAAATGTGATACAAGTCATTACATCCCAGCAAGTAAACATTTTTGAATTAAGAAAAAAAGGTACAAAGACAAAAATCAYGTCCCTGGCAGGGTTTGTGTCATTTTCCAGTGCATCAAATCAGGTAACTCATTAGGATTGGGCTGTATTATATTATGTGTATTACTATTATGTCCCAAGCAGCATCAGACAGTGTGAGAGGATGGACATTAAATAGACAAATAATTCGAGTTTATGRTTTGCTTTTAAATTTCGCATTTGAAGAATAAAATACAAAATAAAAAAAATAGTTTTATAACTTGGATGACTTTTACAAATTGTGCTGTTTTTCTTTGCACAGCATTCTTCTTCTTCATGGCTTCTAAATTAACATTTCTAGAGCCTTCTAGGCTTTTCAAAGATCAGTGATCGGCCAGAAAACTGCAGTTGGTGCACTCGTATCAACAACTGATAAACGTTTAAACTAGGTGTTGGTATAAAAGTATGACTCTGAGACTGCGAGGCTGTCGGTTGTGTTTGAACATTTTCACCTATTGATGAAGCTCCAGTGAATGTGTTCCCTGGTTCTGACTTTTAAAATAGATGTTGAGTTTTATCTAGAGGCAGCTTTATTACCGATAATAACTAAAGCTTCCCGTAGCGCTTTTAGTGTTCTCAAGATTAACTTGCAGTCTGAAGCACTCGGTACACATCCCCATTGCCCAAAGGAGCTCTTCAACAGCCGCTTGCTCCTATAATTAGAGGATGTTCTTTTTGTGCTCTGCAGTTCCAGAGTTTCATAAATTTTAGGAAGAACATTTAGATTCTTCTCATGTAGAAGCTTCTAATTTAGATTCAGGCAGCTGTTTTTCTTCTCATGTCTTTGTGTTTGAYCCTTTGGGTTTGCTGAGTAACTTGTCAGTCGGAGTAAGAGGTAAGGAATTTGTGCCTCTTCAAGGTTCATTCATGCAGTACCAAACTTTCGATGACTTCAATCGTTGATGTTAAGAGGCAAAAAAAAAGTTTTTTCTGCAGCTACCAGAAAATTCAATGACCTGACCTCTTGTTTGCTTTTACCGTTTGAGTTTCTTGAATACTCTTTATTGTCATTGCAACTTTGTAACTACATATTTCAGATTAATTGTAAGCACCTCTTGATTCAACTTGATTATGATTCAGAGGGCTGCGTTAAAACAGTTTTTAATGCAGTTTGATCACCTGTAGGGCTGCCACGATTATTCGATTAATCGACGACTAATCTATTATTAAAACAATCGATGACTAATTTAATAATCGATTAATCGTTTTCTTTTTTTTTGTTCTTTGTTTTTCTCTCCAAACTGCTTTGATACCTTCCACTGCCACATCTGCCTTTCTGTCCTTGACACACATGCACAGTAGTGGTAACTGGGGCAGGCCGTGGACGTCATAAGACATTATACAGACAGGCTCTGGTATCATGGCTACCTGACAACGGAGCTCAAAAATGTGGGAACTTTTTAAGAAAATGAAAGAGAAACCTGTGCAATATCTGCAGAGCAGAACTTGCCTTCCACAGCAATTTTTTTAGTTAGCATATAGCTAAAATCTAACGATGGTTATATAATAGCAGCTGCATTCTGGCGTGAGAAGCTGTATGTTTTATATTCAATTAACATATGATCTGATTAGTCAACTAATCGAAAAAACAATTGGTGATTAATCAATTATAAAAATAATCGTTTGTGGCAGCCCTTATCACCTGCTGTTATCAGGTTTGTAAATGCACACTTGGATGCAACTGGGTTTGCTAATYTTCTTAACACTGAAACTGAAATACAGACAGCAACACAAATTCACAAATTGAAATGATTGGGATTATTTGACAAACTGTGATTTATATGTTTTTGCGTAGCAAAGAGTGCACAATAACACATGCCAAAAATCCTGGTAAGATTAACAACTAYCATAGATGCTAACTTAATATTGAAAATCCCATAGAAAAACTAATGCAGTTAGCATCATGGTAGTCTTTGAAAAATCTTGTCCATAAATTTCAAAATCATCACTTAAGCTAATCATTTTTGAAGTGCAGCTATTATTTGTTCATGAAGTGTTTGGGGTTCAGCAAGAAAAGATGTGGAAAGACACTACAGCTTGTTTCAACTACAGCTGCAACAATAGCTATAATAAAGCAAAGGTCAAATAGCATCTCACAACAATGACTGCTGACTTTTAAAGTGACAGCACAGATTACCATGAACAAAATAGATTTTTTTCAGATCTGACAATCTTCTATGTCAGTGATGTAACGCAGTAACGTAAGGCAAAGAACAGGTTCTGTCACTTACATCTTTAAGACCTACTGCTCTCCGCAGCACAGGCCTGGTACTGGTATAGGTGTTATTTGAACATATGTACATTACCTTTTAGTTTTTCTTTATTGCTTTTTATTCATTCTTTGTAAATAACACATCAAAGTTTTCTTTACTAAAATGATCTTAACATATGCACACACAAAACAATTGTAGCACTGGGATAACTTCAGATGCTACTAAGCCATCTGTTGTTTCACGAGCAGCTCATATTTACATCCCGCTGATTGTTTTCCATCTTTAAAAGCTTCAAACAGCCTCCAGGGTTGGCCAACTGTCAGATCTATGTTACAACTTCATCAAAGTGCTGCCTAGGCTTCCTCTATATAGACATGTTGGCGTAGGTTGGGGAGTAAATTTGATGGGTAAAACTTTTAATTCTCAGTGAGGTGTGTAACTTTTTTCTGCCTTCTGTAATCTTTGTTTTTTACTGAAACTTTTTACTGAAACTT